TAATTTCTACCCTAGGCACCACATTTTTAGGTGCCTGGATTTTTCCCCTAGCCTTTGATTACTACTTCATATGATATAAATACACACTCAAGCCTTGTTAAGCTCTTGGCCTTGTCTCCTTATTTCGGCTACTTGTTTACATTGAAACGCCCCCAGGAGAGAGAAAAGCAAGGAAGAGGATGAGACCCACAAACCCCATTTCACTTGGCCTTGTTGTTAGCCGCTTTGAGACTCCTTAGGGTAGTGATAAAGCGGGATATCAAATCCAACCTCTTCTTCTTCTTCATCTCAGAAGCTATGTGCATGACAAGGGATGGTATGCCCTTATGGCAAATTAAAAAATGAACTTCCTAATGAATAATTGGAAAAGTTCCCTGAGCTTACAAGCTTTAGTGAGTGAATTAGACAGCTTTTTCTGCCCTGTGCAAAATAAATTAAGCAACAGCACCATTACAGGAATGATTCTGCGAAGCAGCCACCCACAAGTATTATGGGAGAATATTCTAACGATGACAAGATGCCACTTTTTATTATTATTATTTTAATCAAAACACCTCCTGTCTGCCTCCCACAAATATGCTTCCTGGGGTCCACACAAGAGCTGACTAATCTGCAAGTTCCCACCCCCCAGCCCCAGAATCCACCTTTTTGGAAATAATAATAATAATCCACAGAACAGTCTTCTCCCTGCCAAAGAAAACGAACGTCCATTTCCTACCCTCAATTCTTCCTACAAAGAGGGAAATAGTCATTAGCACTGAATATTAGGCTAGAACCCTTCACCACAAGCCAGTTTTCTACAGGAGGGTTGTGTCAAGGCCTAAAAGCAGGCATAGGTAAACTCGGCCCTCCAGATGTTTTGGGACTACAACTCCCATCATCCCTAGCTAACAGGACCAGTAGTCAGGGATGATGGGAATTGTAGTCCCAAAACATCTGGAGGGCCGAGTCTGCCTATGCCTGCCTAAGAACATGGTTGGTAAACGAAGGCTCGGGGGCCAGATGTGGCCCAATTGCCTTCTAAATCTGGCCCGCGTACGGTCCGGGAATCAGTGTGTTTTTACATGAGTAGAATGTGTGCTTTTATTTAAAATGCATCTCTGGGTTATTTGTGGGGCATAGGAATTCGTTCATATTTTTTTTTTCAAAATATAGTCTGGCCCCCCACAAGGCCTGAGGGACGGTGGACCGGCCCCCTGCTGAAAAAGTTTGCTGACCCCGCCTAAGAGGAAATGGGGTCGAAAGGGAGAACCTGGTAGAGAATCCGTGTTTCACAGGCCTCAGGCCTTCATATATTTGTAAAACAGGATTTATTTATTTTTCATATGGAAGAACACTCAGTAATGCTGCTGCCCCCTCGCCCAGCAACAGGATGAAGACCAAAGCCATAAGAAAAAAGTCAGGCCACAAACATCCCACTAACATCAACAACTGGTCACAGCTAGACATTTAAATCAGTGTCATTTTATCACTCATAGGTTCCCTCAAAGAATCATGGGAACTGTAGTTGTCTAAGGGCACCGGGATTTAGCTCTGCAAGGAGCAAACTACAGTTTCCAGGAGTATCTGGGGGAAGCCGTGACTGCTAAAGTGATATAAATGTGTTTTAAACAGGTGGTGCCCAGGATCATCTGAGAAAAAACTTTGCCTTTTTGGCTTCATCCTACTTCATCCTAGTGTAATTACACCAGATTCCCTCCATTTCCTGCTTCTTGTTGCAACTGCACTTCCCATACCCCTCTGAAATGAACGGAAGGCTTGAAAAAGATGCTCTGTCTGAAGAAACACGGTCCGTTTAGCAGCGATTTCCCCATTCCTCCTTGTTTTATCTTGCTGGGCATATATTGCTGTTATGCTTGGGAAATCTGAGGCAGGCAGATTATCTTATCCCCAGTCACTCAGCAAAGTCAGGATCTGAATTCACTTCCAGGCCCAACTCTACAGATCTTTAAGCGAATCCCCTAGTGTGCAGATCACACTGAGGCTAACCAGTGAGGAACTGCAAAGCGCACTCAGCGGCCTCCGGTAGGAAGGAAATCAGTGGTAAAAATTCCAAACATTCCAAGCTGCACCTAGAATTACCACTTCTGCATGAGAGATCAGTGCTGAGCAGACATGATACAAAGGAGATGGTTGGGGAACCTTTTTAGGATTGGAACAGTGCATACTTTGCATCCAGAAAGATTTGGGTTCAATGCCCCCCCCCCAAAAAAAAACCTCCAACCTGCAACCCCAGAAAGATGTAGCAGTCAGCTGGCCTTCCAACTGACAGCCTGATCCCAGGTGAGTCACGACAGCACTGGCACTCCTATACAAAAATATACTGTAAAAAAACGAAAGAAATTGGTCCCCAAATGCATGTTTGGTTTGTAGGTGGGTCCTAGGTCTGAAAATGCCAAAGACTGCAAAGCTCAGTGGTCTGACTCAATATAAGCCAGCCACACACTTCTGCAGCCAGAGTAATCAGTTCCAAACACCATTTTCCCCAGGTTTCAAACAGGCCCCCCCCCTCCACAAATTTTTTTTTGAGAAGCACATTCTTGACACTTGAGTCTTCTCTTCCTCCTCCTCCTCCTCCGCCCCTCCTTTGCTACAGCCTTCCCCTTCCATCCCACAGACAAGATCTCAACTGTACAAACGCCAGAAGATAACTGCTGGCGGAAAAGAAAAGAAAAATGAGAGAGAAAAGGGGTGCAATTAAAAGATTCTGCCTTCAGAGAAAGCGCTCCCCCCCCAACTCTTTGGACTCGGTCCGAGCGAATTTCTCTTTGACGGAATGGCAAAGCACATCATCAGAGGGGCAAAAATAAATAAAAGTAAGAGCTAATTAAGTGAAACGTTTTAAAGGATGGGGAGGGAGGGAGAAGCAAGAGTTTTTGCTTCGCAAAGTTTTTCTTCTCCTCCTCCCTCCTTCTTGCAGCGTTCCATTTCCTGGTAATGTGCCATTTTGTTCGAAGGGGGTGGGTGGCGGTAGGAGAAGAGAGCGTCTGGCACGGGAAATCAAAAGTTTCCAGATATATATTTTTTAATTTCCCCCCTCCTTTCTCCGCCCCCCCCGCTCCGTTTGCCAGTGGCGTCAGCGAGGAAGGGAGGGGCCTGGTGGGAGGACGGGCTGGAGGAGAGACGTCTGCGTGTGTCTCGGTCTCTTTTCTCCAACGTGCCCCCTGGATCCAGACATTTTGGAAAGGTTTCGGCTCGCCTTCCCAACGCGCAAAAATTAATAACAAAACACCGGGGCGGGGGGGGGGACCGAGTAGCCTCTGGCTGCGTTGCAACGACAGGAAGGAGCAGCAGCAGCAGCGCTGGCTGGTTTGCCTCTACCTGAAGGGTATCAAAACCACCTCCCTCCAAAGGCATCATCCAGAAGGGGGCTGCTAGGCAGTACGCGACGCTGGCGCGCAGCGGAGGAACCCCGGGCCAAACCTTCGCCTTTGCGCGGGCCGGATTCCATTCCCCCGTCTGGCCCTCCCCGCTTTGCTCACGCGCAACACAACCCCCGGGTCGTTGGCAGGGAGGGGCACAGTTTGCATTCACGCACAAACATATAAGATCCCATATGGAGACAAGGAAAATCCCATTTTTACTCTTCCCGGCAGGGGTTGGGTGTGTTGTTGATTTTTTATTTAATTTTTGCATTGAAATCTGCGTTGCTTCGTTGCTTTTAAATATATATATATATATAAATAATGCGATCCTTTAAGTTTGATGTGGATTGAGGGCAAGCCGGGAGGCCGGAGATGGAAGCCCCTGTTTAAAGCACACGATAGGAAGTGCGCCCAAGCAAAAGGGCGGGCAGCCGGGCAGAAAAGGCAGCGGCGAGGAGCCTGTCTGGATTGCTAGGTTATGATGGTGTGTCTGTCTCCCTCTCTCGCCTTCCCAGTAAAAAAAATAAAAATGCACACACACACACACACACACACACACGAAATCGTATTGCAGCTCCAGCACTCAGGCTGGCTCCCTTACAGATGGGCTCCGGCACCAGCAGCAAACCGTTTTCTTCCCTCCTCCATTCCACGCAACCAGACCCACAAAATATATATATATCAGGCGCCCGCGTCTCCGCCGCTAACCCTTTGCATCCAAGGCCTCGTTCCCAAGCCAAATTCCAGGAAATGGGCGGGGGGGAGAGCAAGAGAAGGAATGGACTTCTCCTGCCACTCTGAATTTGCAACGGCGAGGAAATCGGTGCCCAACCAAAAGCACCCGGAGAGAAACGCATTCTTTTTCCACCTCTCCAAAAACAGAGTCTACTTCGCATTCTCTTCTTCTGTTTCCCCCACCCCAGCAAACATTTATCCCCTAAAAAAAATAAAGAACTGAGCAAGCCTTGAGTCCCTCATTGCTCCTTCCAGAGAGTTTGCGTAGGCAAGGACCCGAAAGTACTGGAAAAAATAGTGGTGTAACTTAAACGAGGAGTAATTGGGCAACGAGGCGGCGAGGGAGAGAGGGGCGCACGGATCTGAGAGATCCTAAGGCGCCGGGAAAGGAGCAAACTGGAAAGAGAGAAAACCCAAAACTTTCCGGAGATCCCTCATTGCCCAATTGCTCTCCGGGGAGCCTTTGCCCCCCCCTTTACTCCCCACCGCCTTCCCGATCCCGACCCCCAAGGCAAGCCCAGGCTAGACGCATCCTTTTGAGCACACACACCGTTCACACTCGGGGAGTTTCCACTTCGGAAACAAAAGGAATCCGGATTGGGAAGAGGCGTGGGGGGGGCGTAGCAAAACCCACTCGGAGTAGTAAAAGGCAGAGAGGTGTTGGGGGGGGGGAGAGAGAAGCTCCAGTATTTCCGAGTTATATTAAACTCGGCGTCTTTATTTTTTAAATTGCAATCAGAATACAAGCCCCGGAGCGAATCTTTTCTTTGCATTTGCAAACCGGGGCGGGAGGGGAGGGAAATCCGCCTCTCGCTTGGCATTTTCTAGCCTGGGGGGGATTGATACGGGGGGGGTGGGAAGGAGAGAAAGACGCCTAATAAGAGCAGCCTTTTCGCTTACCTTGTGTTGGAAACGGGGGCTCGGGGGTGCTGTCTTGGAGAGAATGGCCCTGCTCGTTCTTCGGAAGAGGGAGGCGGGCGGGCAAGTCCGGTAAATCCCCGGGCTGTGTGGCTGGGCGGGCAGGCGAGCGATCTGGAATAACTACCAGTAGGGTTTGGTGGGGGATTCCGCCATGTCAATGATGTCGGACCACATGGGGATTTGTGACCAGCCCACATACCATACAGTCTGGATTAGAAGCTACTGTGGGAAAGGAGAGGGGGAGGGAAAAAAAGAAATCAGCTGAGGAGGGAGGCGGGCGCAGAAAAAACAGAGCCTGGAGGAGGAAAAGGAGAGGGGGGGGAGGGAAAGTGGGGGGGAAGAGGCACTTTGCAAATTTATTAACCGCCTTGCGTTAAAAAATAAAGCACGGAGGTTTTTTTTCCCCTCCAGCAAGACTGAGGAGTTAAAAAAAATTACAGTAAGATGATGATGCTAAGAGCAAGCGACTATACCCAGACTGCCATCTCCAACATACTTTGCTCAAGAGTAAACCCTACTGGGACACACTTTGCAGAGCCTTACTGAACTTGGGGAAGGGCGCTTGCTTCATAGGATGGGGTTGAAATGCTACTAATCCTTTCCCGGAGAGTCACCTCACCAGCACCGCTGGACTCGCTTGCTCTCGAGTAAGAGCGCACAGGTCTGAGCTGCGTGCCTGCGTGCCAATGCACTCTTTCCCCCCTTTTTTTGAGGGGGGGGGTTGCACTATTTCCCCCTTTTTTGAGGGGGGGTTTCTCAGTCTGTACAAGCGTGCATTGGATCAGACTGCGAAGAAGTGGAAGGAGGCTGAAGGGGGCGCCTCTGAACACACGCCCCCCCCCCGCGCATTCTCCCAGGATGCGCTAATTCATTCCTCTCCCATTCATCCGCCACACACCCCACACCCCGTTTGCGGTTTGTTACCCCGCAATAATCCCCCCGAGGGCACATAAAACAAAATCAATTAATAACAGTTTAGTTATGCTGCGCCTTAACATTAATCTCACCCGCCCATCCATGCTGGAGACAGAACGAGGATACAGAATAATTGCCCCAACAACTGCAAGTTGAAAACCAAGTTGGTCATTTCTTCCAAAATAACACAAGAGTTTTGTGCGTGTAACGCAGCAATCTTAGTTATGCCTGTTCATTCACTATGTTCAAAGAAACAGTTTATTCTCAACTGGAAGTATGGATTGGGTAGCATATTTTATTTTTAAAAAACCCATAAGTGGGTTTTTTTAACAATGCCATCCTATACACTCAGAAGTAAGTCCTACTGAGTTCAATGCGGCTTACTACCGCATAAGTGGATACAGAATTCCTGCGTTTAAAAAAAAAACAACCATGACTCAGTATATATGGAATGTCTGCAATGCTCCCGTTACATAGTTTTTTCTTTGAAATTAAAAGAAACTGCAACATAGTGTGTTTGTTCTTAACCATACTCTTTTAAATAATAAATCAAAAAGCTGTCCTGAGAAGTCACCCCTCCTGCTCCCAGATGTGTGGGGGTGGGACTGGGACAGTTTCCTGGAAAAGGCACTCTGAACATGCTTAGGAGCAGCCCTCTTATCCCAGCACATCCCAGCTGTGCCTTGGCATTCGGAACAGTGTCCAGGAGGCCTGTAACATCCACCAACAAAATAATACGAAGCAGCTGTTACATTGGTCTGACACAATGGAAGTCTGTCCACACTCTCATCCCATGCAAACAACTGGGAGCCATATGAAAATGGGCATTTCAAAAGGTTTCGAAACCAGTTTGGCTGCCTTAGCCACCATGCAAAATACAAACACAGATTGGGGGTGTTTTTATTTTGTTTTAGAGTTGCCATTTCCACTGCTTGAGAGAAGCCAAATCAACAATGAACCCTTTCTGAAGGGCATGCGCACTTTGAGTGAGATGCATCTCATGAAGGATACCAGAACCCACAGAAATTCATGCCATAGTAACGCAAAGGTTCACGCCATCTTGTATTTATTAGTACTGCAATATCTTTTGTTGGTTTTTTGCTGCGACCAACTCACATGGCTTGGGTGCCCCTCAGGCAAATTATATACCAGTAATCACACAGATCTTTATTTTAAATTTGTTGCTTTTTAAATGAGTGTTGTGGAAGGTGTTCAGCACATGAAAGTGAATGCAGGAATATTTTAACTCTGGCCTGAGGAAAAGCCCGCCATGCAAATTCAAAACTTTGCATGCTTTTCTCCCCAACAGAAGATAAGCAATTGCAGTATTTTGTCTCACCTATTGATATGTCCTATCTAGCACCAATGCAGCAAAACCACAGAGCAGCACCTAGATCAAAGGACTGTGTATCCTCCATGTGTCTGTTGTTAGCACACAACTCGACACAGAAATCAAAAGCATTCTCAAAACCTCAACTTCCTCCTCGTTTCATATATCAAATTGTTAACGGAGCAAGTTTTCTGAAGTTTCAAATTAATCAAAGGATAAAGAAATGAGTAAGTTCCTAGCCATCACATAAAAAACTTTTAAGAAGTCTCTGGATGAGATCCCAGAACCCAGGCTGGAGGGCGGGGATTATGACCTCCATTACTCAGAGAGCGAGGTCACAGTGACTTGTGCGCAGCTGACTTTCTCTTCCTTTTGCCTGGCAAAAGGGGGGGGGGGAATAAGCCACTTACACAACAGGCAGATTTTCCAGCCTTCAGCTTTCATTCAGATTACATAATTTACAAAGGAAAGAGATTGAAAATTTGGTTTGGCACAATTTATACATGTGCCCTATTGGCATCAAATTACACTCGGTTTCATCCAGTGCTATTTTTCTAGAAAAAGAGGTGTCAGAACTCACCATGAACGCCACTCTTGTTCTCTTATAATGGCAAGGGCACCCATCTGAGAGGTGCCAGAACTCAGTTCTGGTGAGTTCCAACTGAAAAAAAGCCCTGATGATATCAGAATATTTGATATGGCTGCCCTATCTCTCCCTTTGTTTCTTCCAACCTTTCTCATTATTTCTTACTTTTTTTCTTCTTCTTTTCTTTTTCTTCTGCACCTTTTTTGTGTGTCTGCATGTGGGGTATGACAGAGAAGCAACCTTTAAGGTGGCTGTATACTTTATGAAAGTGACGCAGGTGGCACTGTGGGTTAAACCACAGAGCCTAGGACTTGCCGATCAGAAGGTTGGCGGTTCGAATCCCCGCGATGGAGTGAGCTCACGTTGCTCTGTTCCAGCTCCTGCCAACCTAGCAGTTAGAACAAGTAGATAAATAGGCACCGCTCTGGCGGGAAGGTAAAACAGCGTTTCTGTGCGCTGCTCTGGTTCGCCAGAAGCAGCTTAGTCATGCTGGCCACATGACCCGGAAGCTGTATGCCGGCTCCCTCGGCCAATAAAGCAAGATGAGCGCCGCAACCCCAGAGTCGGTCACGACTGGACCTAATGGTCAGGGGTCCCTTTACCTTTACCTATATTTTATGAAACCCATGCCTAAAACATACTTAAAAATTGGTTGTTGTTAAACATATATTTTTAAAGTTTTAATTTGTTATAAACTTTTTATAATCACACAATTACATGCAGAAGAGCATGTCTGGGTGATCTAGGAATACTGCAGTTTAATTTTAGGGGTCCAAGATGGTGAGTTGGGTTTCTTTAAGGCGCAGGCCTCAAATCAAAATCAATGGCTCCCTATAAACCTATAAACCCCTATAAACTTTTTACTTGTCTTTTTACATTCCCCACTACAATTACTAAGAAATTCTTCCTGAAAACCATATTTATAATGTTCCCAATGGTGTATGTGGTTGAATATATTGTTGTTATTACTTATTAATCACTTGCTACCTAAAAAAAGTTTCCAAGTGACTTATATTTCACCACATAAATGCATTATACCATAAAAAACGAAGAACGGTCATATAAAACATATTTCTTTTTATAATTCAAGCACACACACTGACTGCACACTAGTGCATTCTATTATCACAATATATGACACACTCCATTTTTAAAAAAACGCAATCCTTTACTCACAGTATATTAGTTAATCTTCCAAAATTCACTAACTCCCAACTCTTCAAAATCCAATAATCTAGGGTGGTTCTTACTTTTTCTATTTGAAACAGATGATCACAGGTGCTGCTGTTAATAAATGGATTACAATTCCTCCATCTTCCAGCAATACTATCTGGCAGACATATCATATATTGTTATACCTTTGGGTTTGTTCATTGTAACTGTCCCAAAAGACTTCGGGTTTGGGGCAGGACCACAATATACGGGCCATATTGCCAAATGCTCTTCGGCATCTCATAAAAACTACTACAGGTTGTCTGTGCAGGGGGGTCAGTCAGAAGGATAAGCATGGGACCCTTCCAGACATGTGATTCTGTATTCTTGAGATTTAGAACCTCAAAGCATCAGATGCTGAACCAGCCCAACCAGTTCCTTTATTTGACTAAAGGCCTTATTAATCGCTCAGCTATTGGGACACGGATGGCGCTGTGGTATAAACCACAGAGCCTAGGACTTGCCGATCAGAAGGTCGGCGGTTCGAATCCTGCGACAGGGTGAGCTCCCATGGCTCGGTCCCTGCTCCTGCCAACCTAGCAGTTCGAAAGCACATCCAAGTGCAAGTAGATAAACAGGTACCACTCCGGCGGGAAGGTAAACGGCGTTTCCGTGTGCTGCTCTGGTTCACCAGAAGCGGCTTTGTCATGCTGGCCACATGACCCGGAAACTGTATGCCGGCTCCCTTGGCCAATAAAGTGAGATGAGCGCCGCAACCCCAGAGTTGTCCACGACTGGACCTAATGGTCCCTTTACCTTTACATGGGATTACATGGGAAGCTGGAGTCACAGTGTCTTGTCTTGCTCTGTGGTGGACCCAAATCTATGGCCTGGAGATCAGGGGAGGACTTTGGTCGTTCAAATCTCAGCAGTGTGAGGCCAAAATTTGGTGCCACCCCACCTCTCATCTTCCGTTTTGCTCAATTCATAGTTGTCATAGTTGTGGGGCCCTGCAGTCCCTGCTAGGCTCAGCACTCAGTGAGTCATGCTTCTCTCAATCTGCCTCTGTGGGAATCCCCTGGGACCCTGATGGGGAGGCAGAATTTGTTAAAGAGTGTTAATGTGTGAACCCTTCCATTCTTTGCTCTGGATGGGTATCCGTTTAAACAAAATCATGTTTTGAAGACACCTCCAGGTAAGGACGCAAACTGAGAGCCAGTGTGGTGTAGTGGTTAAGAG